TAGATCTGCACTGCCTTCAAAATACACAATAAAGCACACTTAAAAAAATGTTCCATATAATTCCTGCTGATTCAGGGACTCCTTAAAGTTAGATACTCTAGATTTAGAATATTTAGAATTTTAAAAATGAAACCAAAGGTTAAGATAAATTAGAACTATAAACCGGTTTCTATGTAATCGGTGCAAGGTTTGGAATAAGTCTTTTACTCCTGCATGGATCTTTTTTCTTCTCCCTTAGAGCTGGCAAGATATGATGAAGGTTTTTTTCTTTGAAAAACAAGACAGAGCAGGATGGTAAAGTCAGGAGAAAGGAAACATGAAGGAACACTTAGATTTTGCTAATCATTCCACTTGAGGAGTAAAGAGCAAATGAAAGGAACAATCTAAGAAAATGTCCATTATTATTCTTGCTTCAGCCCCAAATTCTATCTAGACTTTAACTCTAAATAATCCCAAAGTTGTTTCTCATCATTCTTAGAATAAAGTTCAAAGTTCTTAGCCTGTTTACCTTCCCAGCTTCATCTTGAGCAATTCTCATAGATTCTGGACTCGTAAAATGAATGGAGAACCACTCCCTCCCATTCTCTGAAGTGGATTGTGTAGTGGCACCATTTCTTTAAATGTTTAATAAAATTTATAGGGAAACTCTGTGTTTGGATATTTCTATTACAGATGGATTCCTTTATTTCCTTTTTATTTATTTATTTATTTTGGTACCAGGGATTGAACTCAGAAGCACTCAACCACTGAGCCACATCCCCAGCCCTTTTTTTGTATTTTATTAATAGACAAGGTCTCACTGATTTTCTTAGTGCCTCACTTTTACTGAGGCTGGTTTTGAACTCGTAATCTGCCTGCCTCAGCCTCCCTACCTACTGCAATTACAGGTATGGACCACCAGGTCCAGTGTACTTCAGAAGGTTTTCAATTGCAAATTAAATTTCTTTTATAGTATATTTATAGGACTATTCAAATATCACGTTAATCTTGGATGTATATTGGTAGTTTGGAATTTTAAAAGACATCCCCTGGTCTTTTTATTTATTTATTTATGTTTTTGACAAGTTCTTGCTAAGTGGATGAGGCTAGCTTTGACCTTCTGATCCTTCTGTTTCAGGCTCCAGAGCAGCTGAGTTTATGGGCATGCACCACTATGCAGGTTATTTCGTGTTCTTTGTAGTGCTCTCTTCTTATTCTTTTAAACTTTATTAAGTCTGCAGTACTATTTCCTTTTTCATTCTTTTTTTTTAAATTTTTTATTTTTTTTATTGGTTGTTCACAACATTACAAAGCTCTTGACATATCATATTTCATACATTAGATTGAAGTGGGTTATGAACTCCCAATTTT